ATATATTGTTTCTGCAGTGGTGACACTGGTTGAACAAACTCATTTGATTTGATTGCTTATATGTCTTTACTTGCCTATATAATTACAAAAAAACTACGTAAAAATAAAGTACTTAATTGAAAAGTTCAAGCATTTGGCAGATTGTCCATTTTCCTGTGCATTTTGCTTTTTTTTTTTTTTAAAGATTTATTTATTTGTGCATACTGAACTGGAGTACAGGCCAGGGGCTCAGGGGCGGTGAGAGGCTTCACCAGAGACAGAGCGGGGAACAGAACAGACAGATCGACAAAGTACACTCCTGAGGGGAGCAGCGGGCGGGTCAGGAGAGGTCTGCTGCGCCTTGTGGTCACCTCCGGGGCAGGCGGGAATCAAACTCATGCGGAAGTGGTTTTAGATTCTCAGCACTGTGCTTTAACCCATTGCGCCACCAGGGAGGGCCGCATTTTGCTTTTTAAAAGCATGATGGTCTCTGTTTACTTAGAAAAAAATTTGTCTTAGAAGCAAGCAATGGTTTTAACAGTGGGTTGAAAATAGGAAATGTAGGGCAAATGGAAGTGATCAGGCTTTTCCTGCCCTCCCGCCATTAGCATCAGTGATCGACATCTGTGGCCTTGTGTGGGCACCTGACAGGGGTACTTGGAGTGTGGTGTGGGCTGCAAAAGTGGGCGCCCAGAGCCAGGGCGGGAGCCCAGAAGGGTGGGTGGCAGAGACTGCTGGCGGAAGGGGCCAGAGCCACTAGCTCCACTGCCTGTCCCTGCTGCCTCACAACAAATTGTGCAGAAAGAGCATTAAAAGCTTAGATCCAGAAGATGTGGTACATATACACAATGGAATATTACTGAGCAATCAAAAAGATAAACACATGCCATTTGCAGCAGCATGGGTAGAGCTGGAAAAGATCATGCTAGTGAAATAAGCCAGAAAGAAAAGGAAAAATACCGGATGGTTTCACTCATAGCAGGAATGTAAGGGATCAGGAAAAATAAAAATAGGTAGGTAGTTGAAAAAAGCAAAAAAGAACATCAACTAACAACTATAGACCAGGGGCATTCTGTGGGGGAGGAGAGGGGAACAGGATCAAAAGGCGGTGGGAAGAGCACATGTGACTGGTGATGGCACAGGGGTGAAGTAGTGGTGGGAAGTTCACAGGGATGACAACTGATATAAAAAAATGTACAAAATGAAGAATAATGTCAAAAATCTATTAAAAAAAAAGCTTGGGGTAAGCCACTGAGGGCTGCAGGAATCCCTTTTCTCCCTCTGTCCTATGGCCTGCCTCCACGCAGAAAGAATCTGCAGTTTTTACATTACTTCTCTAGTTGACAAACAGACTTTTTTATTTTAAAGGTTTATTTATTTATTCATACAGAACTGGGGCAGTGAGAGGCTTCACCAGAGACAGAGTGGGGAGCAGAAGAGGCAGATTGGCAAGGGACACTGCTGAGGGGAGCAGTGGGTCAGGAGAGGTCTGACGCGCCATGTGGGTCACCTCCAGGGCGGGGATCAAACTCACACTGAAGCGGCTTTAGCTTCTCTGTGCTGTGCTTTAATCCGCTGCGCCACCAGGGAGGGCCAACCAAGAGACTTTTTTTTTTTTTTAATGGAAAGGAACTTTAATGCAATTGGTGTACAATACAGAAAAGACAAAAAATACAGTTTCTAAATCAAACACCTACAGTTACCCATCCCCTCATGAGTATAAGTCTACCCAAAAGGATTGGTCCAAAGCAAGGCCTGAAAGCTGCCACAAGACTAAAAGCACTTTCTGGCCAGGACCCATAGAAAAGGGTCAGAAGTAGCCAGACAAGTGTGGGAGGAAAAGAGCAACATCAAAATCAAGATAAACACAGCCATAGTCACCTCCCCACTGGTCTCTCACCCACATCTCTTTCAACCAGTCCAGGGCCAAGAAACAAGAGCCACCTCCAAGAGACTTTTAATGCGGACCCATCTGGTTAACTTGCACTCCAGATAAGCCTGGGGCTGCCCGGAATGGAGCTGAGTTCACTTAGACATTTTTCAGTATGTCAGATGCGTCAATCAGATGCCTATAATGTGAGACACATTCTGAAGCATAAATCACAGTAACTGTTAAGATATCTGTATCTTCCTTTGTTCTAGAATTGCAAGATTAATTTCCTTTCACAGTCTCTAGTGTGAAAAGTTAATTTCTTTTCTGCGATTTTTGTGTAATTCTTTTCTGTTTCCAACACCTTAAGGAATGGTCCTATTGTGCAATGCAGCAATTCAAATCCTTATGCATGAATGTCCTTTGCCATCATAATAAAGGCACATTGGGTATAAAAAAAAAAGATATCTGTATCTTCCACCTCCTCCCTTCTCCCCATAGTGCACATACATTCTGAGGTGTGGGGAAAGAATAGTTGAAGTATTTGACAATTATAAAATCTGGCTGTGTTGCTACCATCCGTCATCAGTCATCATCATTTCTCATCTGCGTTTGTCCCTTTTACCTCGCTGCACGAGAGCTCTGATGTGCCTTCTGCATTCCCCACCAGCCAAGCGCCAGGGCTTCTGAGACCAGGCTGGTGTCCAGCTTCCCTGAACCTCTCTTCTAGCATGGTCCCAGCCTGGGGTGTCTCCTGTTGCAGTGGTACTGTGAATCAGCCCCAGGGATGGCAGTGACTGCTCTAAAGTGCAGCAGTCAACAGAATAGCGGAAGGCCGGTTGCTAGAGAGAAGAATGATTGTGGCTAGAAAACATCCATCTCCTTTCCCTATAAAATTGGGGGAGGGGACTGATTAGATGCAAAAAAGGATTTGCTCATATTTTCAGCTCTAATCGTCATCAGCAGCTGAATTTATTGAGCAGTTGCTATGTGCCAGAGGAGGCTCCAAGCACTTTGCATATCTATCTTAATCATTTTAATAATCCTGTGAGGAGACCAGTGAGGCACAGATGGTCTCATGCTCCTCATGGGTGGAACTCAGACCTGACAGCTGCTGTTGGGTTCCAGGTTTGTTCTCCTAATACTGTTTCCTGCTGCCAACACAGCACCTGACTCATGGTGTAGATCAATTTACTGTTTAATTTTCTACTTGTAGAAGGAGGAAAAAGACTATTTAGTGATCACCTGTCATTAAAGGAGAAAGAAGGAGATTTTTAACCTACAGTCTTCTGTACTGTGTGACCCTCCCAATTTTATTTATAACCGTTAAAATGTTAAAATATTTAAAATATTAAAGTATTTCGTTTCTATTTAAAATACACTAAACATACTATATTTAAAACATTAAGAAGTTAAAAGGAGACTATTTTCTAACTAATAAAAGTCAGTAGAGCCGCATTTTCATCACACCTACAGGATCTTCTAGAAGTTTAGTATTGGTGAGCATTGGTGTCCTCCAGTTTGTAAAGTGCTTGCTTATGTCAACTAATCATTGAATTAAAAACATGTTTTCCGGGTCCTCCCTGGTGGCGCAGCGGGTTAAAGTGCAGCACAATGAAGTTACCCAAAGCCACTGCAGTATGAGTTCTATCCCCGGCCAGGAGCTTACCCACATGGCATGGCAGAGCTCTCCTGACTGCTCCCCTCAGCAATGTACTTCATCAACCTGCCTGTTCTGCTCCCCACTCTGTCTCTGGTGACTCATCTTACCCCCTGCATCATTAGCTTGTATCCCAGTTCTTGTGTGCATAAATAAATAAATCTTTAAAAAACAAAACATCTTTTCCTCTTTTTCCTAAGAGGAAGAAGCTGGAGCAGCAGGCCCCCGTGGAGGCTGCAATCAGCTGTCACTTCTAGGCATGGGCTTTGTTTTCTGGCGGTGCCTTGCTTTCGGTGACTCAACTCGATTGCTTACCTGGCCCAGTGGCTCTCACACAGTCCCCAGCTAGTGAGGAAGTCCTCTCCCAGGGACACACTTAGGAGTACCACAGGTGGGAGCCAGCTCTGTCAGCTCGTATGTGGCAAGAATTAGCCATGTGCTGAGTCCCTGGTGGTCTCCTCCTTCCTCTCTCCCTTTTCTCCATTGCTGACCACACCTGACACAGAAGCATCTCTGTTCTTGGGGAGACTGGTTATCGCATACTCCGTCCTCCTTCTGATAAGACCCTGTTTATGAGCTCATAGCCATTTGGCAAAGTCAGCTTCTCTGTGGTGGCCAGTGCTGGCCTCCTGCTAGACCTGGCTTTATGTGGAGCCCTTCTCGTAAGGGGCTCGGTGCCTGGCGGCCCGGAGGCAGGCACGGCGCTGCGGCCCCAGGTCCGGTTCTGGCTGCAGGAGGCAGGTCCTCTGCCAGGCCCAGTGCCAGCAATCTCCGCTGCCTGCTGGGGCACCCCAGGGGACCCACACACCAGCAGGCTGCACTTTCACTGGGTGTGTTAGCCATTCTGTCGACGAGGGAGAATACCCTTTCCTTGTTCCGCATTAAATCAAAAAGGTCTTTTTGGAGTATAACAAGACGTGGCTTCTTTCCTGTGTGACGTGGAACATACTCTTTGCCATAGCTGCTCACAGCAATGATAAAGTCTCAAACTATGCTGGAGAGACAAGTACTGTATTTGCATTTTTTTCAATTAAAGATTTATTTATTAATGCATACAGAACTGGGGTACAGGCCAGAAGTGCAGGGGCAGTGAGAGGATTCACCAGAGACAGAGTGGGGAGCAGAACAGGTGGATCAAGGAAGTACACTGCTGAGGGGAGCAGCAGGCAGGTCAGGAGAGGTCTGCTGCCGCACCGTGTGGGTCACCTCTGGGGCAGGGGATTGAACTCACACTGAAGTGGCTGCAGCTGGCTTGCAGTGCTGAGCTCAAACCCATTGCACTACCAGGGAGGGCCCCTCTGTTTGCATTTTACAAGCCAGGACGTGTGGGAGAAATTCTGTCTTGCTGGTGGTGAAAGGTTTGCAAGGGAGGTGGGGGCAGCCTGTCATCCATGCCTTTCCAGGACCAAGGGTCCAGTCGTGATTTCGAGCAAGACACCTTCCATTTGGTGGAGACAGTGGGGCACGGCCATACTCCCAAGTGAAGAATTTTGATCTGTTTTTCTTTTTGGCAGATTCTCGGCCGGGTTGTGAGATGATGGGACTGGGCAGCGGGCGTCGAAGCATGAAGTCGCCGCCGCTGGTGCTGGCTGCCCTGGTGGCCTGCATCATCGTCTTGGGCTTCAACTACTGGATCGCCAGCTCCCGCAGCACGGACCTCCAGGTGCTTAGTTTGTTTGGGTATCAGACTTTTGAAAGGCACGGGGTTGGGGGGGCAGGGGATTGTATTTGTCACCACTGAAGTAGTGGGCAGGTAATAAAACCCACTCAGCCCTGGGCCCCCCACCGCTCTGCTGTTGGGTGGGAGAGGACCCCTTTGGGGTTTCGAAGGCTTGCTGTCCAACATCGCGTTCTGCTTTTCCTGCGATGGACAATTTTTGGTGGAGTCATTTGGTCTGGTTCTGAGAAGACAACTTGCTTAAAAGTATACCAGCCACAACCCAGTCCTGGCCTCCAAACCCACACTACATCCCAAAGAGGGTGTTAGAAATGTCTGTGGATCATGGGAGTGCACAAGGTGTTTTCAGGGGTCCCCGCCAGCATGTAGTGAGCAATACTAAGCAGACCTTCCGTGGTCACTTCTCAGGGCTCAGGTGCAGACCTGAGCAAGAGAGATGCCCTTGACCGAACCAAGGCTCCTCTGAGCTCCCTCCACGAGGCCTCCACCCAGTCTTCCACCCAGCCACAGCCCCGGCAGCCCGGGCTTTGTAAGGAATCCTCCCAAGCCACCTCTGCATCCTTGCTGTCCCGTAGAGCCTCATCCTGCATCCGAACCTACCCTCCAAGGCCCCCCACTCCCCCCCCACTCTTCCCAGCCCCCCACTCCTCCCGGCACTCTTCCTTCCCCACCCTCCTTACTCTCAGCTGTCTGTGCCATGCTCAGGCCCGAGGGAACCTTCTCTTCCTGTTGCTGTGTGTTCGTGACTTCTGTTGCAGTAGTCTTGAATCAAGTGTTCCTTGTTGTTTTAACAGTGTCCGAATACATTTTCTCTAGCCACACCTTATAAACATGATCTTCTTTTGTACACCATGTTGGGGCTTCCCTTCCCCCCCACCCCCCATTTTACAGGTGGACAGAAAGAATTACAGAGAGGTGAAGTTCAGGGGAGCCGGGGATTCCACTGTTCTTCCTTTCCTTCCTTCTCTCCCTCTCTCTTTCCCTCCTTCCCACTACTCCCCTTCCTTCCCTCTTCTTTTTTCTTTTTCTTTTTTACTGTCTCAGCTTGTCAAGTAGGAGAAAGATGCATTCACAGTATCCTCATGCTGACATATCAGCTGCTTTTATTTTTCCACTTTCTTTTCTTGTTCCTCTTTACATAACTCTCACTGTCTCTAAAATGGAGACACTCGTGTCAAAGCAGAGATACATTTGTGCTCTGCTCTGTTTTCCTCGACATTGTATCACGTGTCTTGATTCTGCATCTTTTTCCTTCCACCATTCCCAAAAAGAGACACCCTGGCCATCTAGATTCCCCATTGGCTGTCCAGGCTTATAAACTGAATCCCATGCAGCTCCCTGAGCTGTGGGCGGCATGAGGCCCTGCAAGCCGGTGTCGCTACTGTCTCCCCATCAGCCTGCGTCTCTCTGATGGAGAGCGTCTCAGCCCCCGAGCTCCATGCAGCCCGGCCTAGGGCCACCTCCTGCAGGGTTTCAGCCCCTTTGTGTGAACTTCCTCCTGATCCCCGGGTAGGCATGGGCTGTGTCCAGAGTTGGAGCGCTAAATCATTTCTCCAGCTCAGTTTCTTTTTTAGAAATTTTGTCTGATAAGTACTTGTCAAGTGTCCTGTTGTGAGGAAAAAAGGAACTAAATATTTGAGCACCAGCTCACAGCAGGGAATGTGTGAGACATGTTATGTGCTTACCTCATTTACACTGCACAGGGTCCCTGGGAGGGATGGGGCTGCATTTCACCTTCCTTGGAGGATCACAGAAGCCCAGGCAGTGGATTCCTCCATTCGGAGCATCATTTTGCTAGAAAAACCAGTTGAGACTGACACGTAGTTGACTGAAGAGATTGGCCCAGGGGAACACACTGGCTGTGTCTGGCTTGATGCAGCTGCTTTTGCCAGAGGGCCTGTCCTCTGGAGATGACTGGGGTTTGCCCTTACAGTGTGGTATCCTTGTAGACACGAATCATGGAGCTGGAAGGCAGGGTCCGCAGGGCCGCTGCAGAGAGGGGAGCCGTGGAGCTGAAGAAGAATGAGTTCCAGGGCGAACTGGAGAAGCAACGAGAGCAACTTGACAAAATCCAGTCCAGCCACAACTTTCAGATGGAGAGCGTCAACAAGTTATACCAGGACGAAAAGGCAAGGCTTGCTTGGTTTTCCTCAGAATTCTCTTCTGAGGAACAGTGAACATGTTGTGGTGTTCTCCGCGGAGGGAGGATATGTGGCTGTGGGTGTTTGCTCGGGTATATGGACGTCTACCTGCCAGCAGTCCCTGGGCGGGCTTGTAAAACCGTTCAGTGGCCGTAGATGGGGAAAAGCCAAAGAACTGAGTTAGCATCAGTCTTCCTGCTATTGGCTTTTTCTTCTTACTTTCTGCACACCTGTGCTAAATGCCTGTGTTTTAAGTACCTGTATTAAATTCTATGCCACAGCAGGGCCGAATGCTTCCATCGCAAACAGTCACATTTGAGCCCTTGGATGACTTCACTAGTGTGAGATGTAACCTCTGGAGAAGCATTAACAGAGGAGATAGAGAACTCTTGACTGCTAGTTTTCAAGTTAAAAATATTAGATCCTCAGCTTAATGAGATAAGCCAGAAAGAGAAAGAAAAATACCGGATGGTTTCACTCATAGCAGGAGTATAATGGACCAGGTGGAAAATAACAAAAATAATGAACAACCATATACCAGAGACATTTTGTGGGGGTGGAGTGGGGAATGGGATCAAAAACGGGTGGGGGGAGGGAAATACACGGGATTATGGTGATGGCACATGGGTGACTTGGGGGGGGGGAAGACGCGGGGGGGGAAAAAAAAAAAAAAAAAAAAAAAAAAATTAGATCCTGCAAAGACTAAAGAGGAACTTCCTGTGAATGAACTCTACCTAGGCTTTATATGTCTTGCTTTTTCTGTCTTAGGGATGTGACTGTACTTCTGATTTATTAAATTGTGATTTATAGTGGCCCCCTCTTATCCATGGTTTTACCTGTCCATGCTTTCTGAGTTACCCCCAGTCAACCCGGGTTGGAAAATGTTCTGTGATAAGGTTCTGGGAGAGCAGGAGAAAGGCCCCTTTCACATCATCTTACACAGGGCGGCAGCATTCTGCTCCTATAACACCATCGTTGCTAACCTCTTACCGTGCCTAATTTTTTTACTTCATCATGGACATACATGGATAGGAAAAAAAGAAAATTCTGGGTTCACTACCCCCCAGTACAGACATGCACAGGGGACCCTGCAGCGTGTATGTGCTCTGAGGATAATGGGGGTGACGACTAATGTTTCTCTTCTGCTGTGCACAAACCATGACCACCAATTACAGAGAATGGTGCGGTCCCTGTTTGCACATACACCTCTCAGTGAAATGCTGATTACTGGGAGGCGCTTGCAACCTGTCGTCTCCGGGGTTAACTTGGTTTCTGCACCAACTAAACTTTACCAACTAGCTCTTTACCAGGAAAGAGTGATCTCTTATGGAGGGGCTCAGACTTTTTCAAGATAAAGCTTATAAAATGTGAGAAGCATGTGTGGTTAGAGAGTGCCTTCCCATAATCACAAATATCTATTCTTTGGGAGTTATTCTGATTTTAAAGCTGTTCTGGTAAAATGCTTTCTGAACTACCCTTTCACTGAAGAGATTAAGACTTTTCTCAATGTGTACACACAACCCCTTAAAGCATAATTTTGGGGGAGGAAGTAGTGTTAATTCTCAAGGAATAGATTTTCAGAAATTCCTTCCAGGCCTTTCAGGCTGTGCAGAGACCACCTGCCTGTGGGCTGGGAGGGAGAGTGTTCTGGGGCTGAGCCTGGGGCTGGAGGGCACCCCAGAGACCCCACAACTGGCTTCCACCTGGCAGAGGGCTCTGGCTGGCCAGGGCAAGGTGGCCAGGGCCACACAGGCCGGCTTGATTATGGTGGGTCCAGCCAGAGCACTTTGCCCATCTGCAGGGAGTGAGGAAAGATATGGTTGTTTTCCTGTGTCTACTACCTACCTCTTCACCCTCATCTTTTCCAGTCTCTGACCTATTTTTTTTTTTTTTTTATCTTTGCCATGTGAGTGAAAGAAGAGAGCATGGGGGGTGTGTCCACCTGTGGGATTTGGTGGCTGCCTTTGAGTGTCCTTTTCTTAGCTCCATCAGCTTACCAAATGCTTCTGAAATTTTACTGGCCACAAGTATCCAAAATTCTGGATGAATACTCCACACTCTTCCAAGCTTCTGAGTATTATTATTTTACAGATTAAGGAACTAAGGTTCAAAGGGAATAAGTAATTGGCATCAGTTTTCTAATAGTTTTTAATAATTCCTCTGTGAACATTTGTGGACAAGTTTTTGAATAGATCCATTTCCAGGTCTTGGGCACAACCTACAAGTAGAATTACAGGTCATGGGCCCTCCCTGGTGGTGCAGCGGGTTAAAGCACAGCACTGAAAGCTAAAGCCACTTCAGCATGAGTTCGATCCCCGCCTGCCCCAGAGGTGACCCACATG